AGATACAGGGATTGTGTGTTGGCTACGGCAGATAAAGTATGTGGATGGACGAAAGGAAAGTGTAGGCATGGTGAGACGTGGTGGTGGGATGAAGATATAAGAAGGGTTTTGGAAGTCAAGAAGGAGAGGTTTAGGGTATGGAGAAGGGACATGACGGAGGAAGCGGAGTCTGAGTATAGGAAGGCTAAGAAGGTTGCAAAACAGGCAGTGGCAACTGCAATGACGAAAGCATCAGATAGGTTAATGAAGGAAATGGAATTTGATGTGAGTTCGAGGAAAATGTTCAAAGTAGCAAAGCAGTCAATGAGGGATAGGAAAGATGTTATAGGGAATGGATATGTTTGGGATGGATTCGGCAAGTTGTGCATAGATGAGGAGGAAAAAGCTCAGGTGTGGAAAGCTCATATGGAAAGGTTGATGAATGAAGAAAATGAGTGGGATGGAGATGTGGAATCCGCGGTCACACACGGACCTATAGAGAAGGTGACGATGGAGGAAGTAGAGAAAGCAGTTAGAGAAATGAAACTAGGTAAGGCGACAGGGGTTTCGGAAGTGGCGGCAGAGCATATTAAAGCGAGTGAGGTGATAGGAATTGAAGTTATGATGAAAATTGCTAACAGTATGTTTGATGATGAAGGTATACCTGAGGATTGGCGACACAGTGTGTTGGTGCCGTTGTATAAGGGCAAAGGAGATGTAAGAGATTGTGGGTCATACAGGGGTGTGAAATTACTAGAGCACGGAATGAAGGTAGTGGAGAGGGTGCTTGAGAGGAGGTTGAGAAGTATGGTGACAGTTAATGAAATGCATGTGTTTTGTGAATCTAGAAAAGGCTTTTGATCGAGTACCGAGGAAGGTCATTGAATGGGCGTTGAGGAAGAAAGGAGTGAATGAGAGACTTGTTAAAGCTGTGATGCAGCTGTATGAAGGGACAAAGACAAAGGTGAGGGTTGGAAGGGGGATGTCGGACGCTTTTAGTGTTAAGGTAGGAGTGCATCAAGGATCAGTGTTATCACCGTTTCTGTTTGCAATTGTGATGGATGTTGTGTGTGGAAACATAATGGAGGGGTTGTTATTTGAGATTTTGTATGCAGATGATTTAGTCTTGATGGCTGATAGCATGGAAGAATTGCAGTTAAAATTTGACAGATGGAAAAGTGTTATTGAAAAGAAAGGGTTAAAAGTTAATATTGGTAAGACGAAGGTAATGGTGAGTGGGGAAGGTGGGGAGCGAGTGATAAGTAAAATAGACCCCTGTGGGGCATGTGATAGGAGAGTGAAGGCTAACTCGGTATTGTGTATAGGATGTCAGAAATGGGTGCATAAGAGATGTAGTGGTGTGAGGGGGGCACTGAAAAAGGTGGAAGGCACGTTCAAATGTAAGAAATGTGTTCATGGTGTGATTAATAGGACGGACGCAAGGACGGGGTTGAGTGGTGGTATTGAAAGAGTGGAAAGCTTTGTTTGCTTAGGGGATAAGCTGAATGCGGATGGAGGATGTTTGAGCGCAGTTACGGCTAGAGTTCGTGTGGGATGGATGAAATTTAGGGAACTGGGTGGGGTATTGTGTGGAAAGAAATGGTCAGTGAAGATGAAAGGGAGGGTATATAAAGCATGTGTGAGAGCAGCGATGGTATATGGTGGTGAAACTTGGGTGTTGAGGAGAGAGGAGGAAAGTGTACTGCAGAGGGCTGAAAGAGCTATGGTGAGGATGATGTGTGGGGTTAAAGTGAAGGATAGGAGGAGTAGTACAGAGCTGATGTCAATGATGGGACTGAATGAGGACATTGTGACATTGATAAGGAGATCGAGATTGCGGTGGTATGGACATGTGTTGAGAAGGGATGAAAGGGTCGGGATTAGGCGAGCGTTGGAGTTCGAGGTTGAAGGAGTGGTAGGAAGGGGTCGTCCGCGATTGGGATGGAGAGAGCAGGTGGAGAAGGACAGGGTGAAAGCGGGGTTGCGTGATACTGAGGCGAGTGACAGATGTGGATGGAGTCGAGGGGTATTTCGGTTTCATCATAGGTAGCCAAACGGCAACCCCCGATCTCGGGGAAAATGCCGTCTAAACGTGTGTTGTTGTTGTATGGGTGCTCAAATTAGAATTAGCTTCCTCTTTTCTTTATGTTCGAGAATGTTCAACATTTTGGTACTTTTAAATTTAAACTGAAAACATATTTGAATCGCCTTTTATGATTAATATGTATATAATTTGTTTGTCATTTTAAGCTATGTGAAATCGTCTCTTTTTAGTCGTAATTGTTTTAGTTGAACTGATATTTTATTTTTAACGAGGTACTTACTAATTTAGCTAAAGGCAATGCTTCTTTAGGTATCCTTTTCACGGTTTTTTTTATTATCATGAGTAAACCTGTTTAAAAAAGCATCAAGCCATAACAATAACGACAATGACGATCAACTGTCAGGGTTTTAGCTGCGACAAAAAAAATTAACATGCAAATGGTACGAATACATTATGGTATCAGTGATAAACCAAAGGCAATGAAGCACGTAAAAATAGTAATCAATCCGCGGTGTTTACAGAATTGTTTAAATAAACACACCCGGGAAGTTTGAAAAAAAAAGGACAAGCGATAATTCTGTTGGTGTTGGTGGAAGCTAGTCGGTCGTATTTAGCGGTAGTTAAAACTCTCGAGGTTGGTAGAAGCAGTTAGGTTGGTGGTTGGTACAGTTGGTGGAAGTATTTACGTTGGTGGTTGGTAGAAGTGGTTAGGTTGGTGGTTGGTACAGTTGGTGGAAGTATTTACGTTGGTGGTTGGTAGAAGTGGTTAGGTTGGTGGTTGGTACAGTTGGTGGAAGTATTTACGTTGGTGGTTGGTAGAAGTGGTTAGGTTGGTGGTTGGTACAGTTGGTGGAAGTGGTTAGGTTGGTGGTTGGTAAATTCCACAGCAGTCAGGGCAAACCCTGATAACGAAACGACACGTCAATTCAGCAAACGTGAATTGACACGGCAAACGACACTGCATTTCAGCAGCAGTGAAATGACAACACGTCGGCAGTCAACGAAGCCTCCGCCAGAAGTTCCACAGACAACGTGACAGCCGGTGTCCCCATTTGCAGTCATTGCTACGCGGGCATAAAATAGCTCACATTTAACAAAACCTTATAAATTTCATTGCTGGGAATTTTGTTAAACCCTTACAATCAACCTTTCAACGCAAACAACACTTCCATCGGCTCCTAGATAAACCTTCTAGTTTCATAATGTTTACTCATTATGCTTTCAGAATGAGAAAGCGTTTTACGAAGGTTTATAATCGATTTTTCAATCATTTTTCTTAAGTTGGAGTCGGATTTTTCGAGTAATTTTTCTAGGTTGGTAGTAGAATACCTAAGCATACAATGCTGAAGTTCCAAAAACGTATTCAGAAGTGATGTACTCACCATCTGCATCATCAATATGAACAAATTGAATAAAGATAGACAAATGAGAATAGACCAAAAGTTTGTCAGGATGATAGAACTTCTAAAGAAGGATTGCAAGGATAACGAACGTATCAGTTAAACATAAACAACTGACTTATTCAAATATATACTGGATAATAATTTTTTTTCTTGAAATCCTATCATTAAACATAAATTGCACGAAAAATTATCAATAGCATGCAAAAAACTAACAGCTCCCTGTATAGCCTCAATTGGGGCAATGCCCATGATCTTGGGGTCAACAGCAACTTGGTGCCAACTTAATATTCGTGCAAGTGGTTTCAAGTTGCGACGTTTGCATTCAGTTAGTGACGTTACCACAACAGCTGCTGCTCCATCATTCACTCCTGTTTGATGACACGATATAACAGATATTATTATGAATATACCATTAAAAAAAAACTAATGACAACTCGGTAAAGAAATATATTGTCTAAAGTATCTATTATCTATTAGAGCTCAAGTTTGCAGATATCAAACACTTGATGCCTCGTCGAACAATGATAACAAAGAATGTTACATGCTGGCACAAATAAAATACTTAGTACACCTTGAATGAAATTAAAATTGTTTGTGAAATGACAGGAGAAATGAAACGAATATGAAAGTGACGAATCAACAAGTTAGTTCAGAGAAAAAGTCTCAAGTTATGTGTTTGCATGGCGATCAGGTTCAATGATCATCTTGCGACTGATGTGCTGATAGCATTCGAAATTGAAATGCTTGAATGACGTGGTGCGGACAAGTAGCATTCGCGTGAAAGCATGATGAAGCACGATCTAACAATATCTTAAATGTAACACAGCTCTGTGCTTACATATTAATTCAGATAACAACAAAAATAACTATCGAAATAACATGTGAGTTAAGCACCTGAACTGTTGCCTGCAGTAACTGAACCAGAGCCATCAAACAGGAAGGCAGGTTTCAACTTTTGGAATCCTTCAATAGTGCATCCAGATCTGGGGAACTCATCCTTGTTCACCGTGGTTGAACCTAGGGTAAAAGGATGGGAGGCGAGAGGGTTATATATTTTTTTTCTAAAAATTTTATTGTCTTCAATATCCCTGTTACATCATCATTATTTTCGAGCACATCACTTGCACCACCATACCAATCACCATCACCAACCCTGCCTCAGCACCACGGTGACAGGAACGATCTCCTCATTGAAAAAACCACCTTCCTGTGCTTGCTGACATTTCAACTGGGAAGACAACGCGAATCCATCCTGGTCGCATCTCGTTATGTTGTATTGCTTCGCTACGTTTTCAGCTGTTCATGTGTGCGTGTGAGTGCGTGTATATATATATATATATATATATATATATATATATATATATATATATATATATTATTTTTCATAACCCGTTCATTCAAATAAACAACTCAGTCCAGAAGATACAAAATAAAACATCGAGGTCGCCATGCCTTGGTGTGTGCAAGCTTATGGATAACAAACAAGATTTACAGAAGCTTTCATTTCATTCCGACTTGGTAATTATTATTTTAGGCTTCGAGGTCTCGCACCACAGGGCATTTATTAATATTTTCTAAAATGCGAAATGAATTAAACCTATACAGTAAAATTGAAATATTTTGCAGTGTGAATAATTAATCGTTTGGCCACCAGTTACTTCAACAATTTTTGTGCCGACTTGCTCCAAGAAGTAATTCTAAACGTTATTAAGTTTTACTTATTCCATTTTTGTATAAAATCTTAATAAACCCTGCAAAGATGTAATCAAATTTTAAAAACAATTTGAAAAAAGTTTATGATCTAAATAAATACAATGCTGGAGTTCCAAGAACGTATTTAGAATTGATGTACCCAGCTAGAGTTTTAGATATTTCTTAAAAACATCGCTGCTCATAACATACACAAATTTCATAAACAAGTTTTAAAATAACCCAACAACCAATACAACAACAACCAACACAACAACAACCAAAATAACAACCAACACAATAACAGCTACCCTTCAATATAACAAGCATAACCAGCACAACAACTAGCCACTTAACAACAACCACCACCGACGACAACAACCACCGACGACAGCCAAGATTTCAACGAGCTACACAACAACAAAACTACCAACCAGTGATGCCCATATGTATGTTGTTCATGGCATCCATCAATCCATCCGACAACATAGAGTCAGTCATGGAGACATCTCCAAACTTCACTCCACACCTCATGTGCATGTTGTGAGGAGCCTACATGCATTAATTAATAAATAAATAAATTAATTAATTTATTAATTCATTCATTCATTCATTCATTAATTTATTCATTCATTCATTCATTCATTTATTCATTTTGTTAGATGATTGAAATAATAAGTTATTAAAACACTGGCTAATTATTTGTTCAACTGTCTAATTCATTCAAAATATTGATTTTATTTACTGTTTAGTTGCTAATTACAATTTTAATTAAACAAAACTGGAGGCATAACAATGATGGATGAAAGACAAACAGATAGACCTATTAGCAAAGTTTTATGAACTCAAGCAAACAAATGAACAAACAAAGAGACAAACAGGCAAACAAACAAACAAAAAAACTGACAGACAAACACACACCAACCTTACTCATGCTTTCCTGTCCACCAGCAACCACAATCTTTGAATCACCCAACTTGACAGCCTGGTACGCAAGAGCCACAGCTCTCAAACCTGATGCACACAACTGGTTGACGATCCATGCAGGCACCTTTTCAGGCACCCCAGCCCCCATGCTGGCCTGCCTGGCCGGGTTCTGTCCCTGGCCTGTTGTGCAGTGGTGATGCAGTGAACATATATTGTCTACATTGTTGAGTTGTTTATATTGACATTGATGATCACTCAATAGAGACCTCTCTGAAGATAAATCAATAGAGGCGCTCTTCAATCAACAATATATAAATCCATTTCACATGAATGAATAAATACAATACAATACAAGTGACTGTTTATGATCAGTGTGACACATTTATTTGGATGAAAATTACATAATGTTGGCAAAAAATTCATTTTCAGAAGCATTGGCAAATCAATGTAAACAACTTGCTTACAAAAACTCCAGAAGCTAACTAATGCGGAACATCACCAGTTGCAACAACATTTACATTTCATGTAGTATAAGCAATAACCAAAATGAACCATCAATAACATCACTAATAAACCACAAATGACATCCCAAACAACATCAGCAACATCCCAAACAACATCAGCAACAACATCACAAATAACCAGCAGTTAGAACCTGTCCCATAATAACTTCAGAAACATCGGCACCAGGTACTTCTGCTCGTTTCAGTGCCTCTCTAATCACTACTTCACCCAACTGACTGGCCTTCAATGATGACAAGGAACCATTTAAAGATCCTAAATAAATAATTTTTAAGTAATAACAATAATTTCTTATCTTTAGTTGAATATTATAAATTAATTCTAATGAAGAGCATATTATCAGGGCAGGAACCGGAGATGTGTCATGTTTGCCTTGTGATGAGATGTTCTGAAACGAAGAACGACAAGATCACTACATTTTGCTGATCTCAACCACCTCAAGCAAGGACATCAGCAACCGATTTTATAACCTCTTTAACAACATTATCTGGTGCATCCCTTATTTATCAATATCTAACAATAAACACCACATCAAATTTAATTCTATATTTTGTCTATTATATATTTAATTAAGAATAAGTGCATATCTAGGGGGCCATCCAAGTTGTTGTGAGCATGTCTGTGTTTGTGTTGTATTCAGTTAGTAAAACACAGTCTTTAGTTAAAAAATAAGAAGATCCATTTTCAAGTATAAAATGCACCAACAATTGATGTAATAACTGGGAAGCAAAAAAAAGGTGGGCAGGAGAGTAATTAATTATGACCACACCAGCAAACATTTGATTATTAAATTCTAGGGCCCCCTGTCTAAATTCCCCAGTGTAAAGACTTAAGAAAGACTTTTAAGATTAATAAGTTGAGAATTTTAAAAAATTTCAAAATTAGAAAAATTGGAAAAACCTATTGGGGTGCGCACAGCTGATACGATGACGACGTCATCATTAGTTGTTGTTGACGTCATCGTATTAATTAACGGAATGTTGGTGACCTGGTTGTTGCTGAGTTGACTTTTTTTTGTTATTTTTTTGGCAGCTTGCTTTTATTTAAAATGTTTAATAATATTTTTTAAATTAAGTTATTAAATTTCAGTGAACGAGAGCACTTTAAATTTGATTGATCACTTAACTATTGAACTGTAAACTTTCATTTATTTGTCCATTTATTCATCCGTAAAAATTTTTAATTAGAAAATGTGAAAAATTTGTAAAAACAAAAACTCAAGAGTGTACTAAATATGTCCTTAAAAGTAAAACTGATTAAGAAAGCTAAGTTACTTTAACTGTAACATTAGCAAATCGGCTGACATGGTGCACATTTTCAGTGCGCTTTAGAGTCTGGCCTCATTTTTTAGTTTCCATCCGTGTCGCGATCCTTCAAAAATATACAACTCTGGGTTAAAAATGTTAACTTTTGCACCATAATTTCACCTTATTTCTTATTATCACTAATAAATCATTTATGCTAGTGATAATAAGAAATAAATAGAAAATACTCTATAAAACACTTAAAATTAGTCAATGTAATTGTTTTTCTAAGTAAAATTGCTGTGTTAATATGTTTTAAAACATACTGAAAAAAATTTTTCAACTTTTGGAACATAATTTTTCCATTTTATCTCTACTGAAAAAAATACTGTTACAGACGTGAGGTCGAGATGGAGACTAATAGTTAGGAATTGTTAAGCTTGTAGATTAATTAGAGGGTTGTAAATTGGGCGTGACACTTTTCTTTGGCACTTTTACAAGCACATTGTTATCTATATAACGAAGAAAAGGTTCAAGAGAAATAAAAGAGGGAAGAAAAGAGCGACAAATAGAGTTGAGTGGTAACAGTTGACGTAGAAGTGAGATTCGATGCAAAGTCGTAAATGTGATTTATGTAGTTATTTGGATAAATTTATTGTTTCTATTACTGCTGGTATTCAAATAAACGTTCAACAAAGTTTGCGTTTGAAGTAGTTGCGTTTATCTATCAGAAATTTTGAACCTACGGATAAACGAACTCTGAACTATTGTTGGAAGCTACAGCACGGTGTTGGAGATATAGAGATTATTGAAGTTATAACATCGGTGTTGGTAGTTACAAAGTCAAGGAGTTACAACAATACTTTAAAAACGCTATAAATCAGTCAATATTATTGTTTTTCTTTATAAGATTATTATATTTTTATGTTTTAAAAATAACAGAAAAAATTATGTATTTTTTTCCAAAAAACACCATCTTAAAAAAAATTTCAGAATAAAAATAATTAAAAAAAATTAACAACATCCGACTCGTATATTAGGACTAGTACTGTTAACTAATATCTCTCGTGATGGGATCGTTCAATGTATCGTTTCCAGGTGAGTTCTAATGGCTCCTTCTCTTCTGTGCATGGTAAGGCGACGTGATGGGGATGTAGGAATGTAGTTGCCTCCTACCCATTAAAAAATTCTGATTTATGTCAAAAGTAGATACGAGCAAACCCGCAAAAAATTTACACCGAGCAAATTATCACAAGTACCTTCTATGCGGCGTGATGGTCTAATATGGTTAAAGGTTACTCTCTCTCTCTTTTGCGTTAGCTTCAGAGGTTTCAACGACAAACACACACAGCGTAAGGAACACGCGTGCAAACCACGCATCATACACATTGCATATGATTGAACGATATCGTTAAGGTCGCCTGGTGATGTTTCGCAGTAACCGGGTTCGAATATGACAAAAAAGATCCCCGCCTATTACACGCTTCGTGTGTGATGCGTCGTTTAGCACGCATTCATATACGATGTTTGTGAGCTTTGTTGAATCCTCTGAACTTTGGCAGAATGTAATTGACATTTTTTAACCTTTTATGCATCTTGATGAATCAGATTTTGTCAGCGGGCTGAACGACAAGTACGTAAACTACGAACTTGGTAAGATTCCTGGCGGCAACAATGAACGACAACGCAGGAGGCCGAAGGATGATGCAGTGACTTCAAAATTCGACAACCTGCCATCGTGTCCGTCAACACCAAAGCAACAACCGAGATCTACAAGCATATCAGCAGCAGCTACTCGTTGCATGTTGGAATCAGCAAATTGCTATTTTAATCAAACATATTTTTATATATAAATTTTGTTTTTGTTTTCTTGTCTGCACACAAGTTATTAATAAAATGCAGGAAGGCTCGCTAATAATTATTCGAAAACGGTTTGTTAGACAATTGTGGGTTCGATGAGTTATCGCGCAGATTACTCAAAAAATACTGCCCCATCAGGGTTTGTGTGCAAACTGGTCGGCAAATTTTTTAAATGACCATTGAAAACAACTGCCCGACTGCAATTTCTTCATTAATGATTGGTGGAAATCTAAGAATTTCTCTCTTTAAATGATTTTTAAATGACAATAACGATGTCAACAGGAGGTCTCACGAATCGTGTGGGTTTGCTTTCTCACACTGCCTACATTGCTGGCAAATATTCGAAACTAAAAAATTCAGATGCTTATCAACAAAACAAAATAAGATGTTTTCGACAAGAAAATCACGGACAGATACGCTCAGAGTGGTGATATTTTAATAGAAAATATGTACTGCACTTTAAAACATGACTTCAAAGAAATGTTTTGTGGAGGATTTTTTAACTTTTTATCAAAAAATTTAATTGAAAACATTAATGAAAATATTAATGTTAAAAATGAATTATGAAGAAAACGAAAATTGAGCAAATTTTATAATTAGAATGTAATTAGCAACTTTTAAGATATTTAACTGATAATGAAATATTTTATTAAAATTGCTATTAAAATATAATTAAATCATTTTTAACCCTTTTGCATTATTTTTTGATGAAAAAAATTGATGGCGTATTTGCAATATGTTGATAAAAATACAATAAGCCATGCGTTGAAATGCATATACTTGAAGTTAAAACACTGCATCTTTTCTCACACGTCTCCAATCTTGTTCCCTAACACTGGCTACGCATCAAATAGCCAACGGAATAATTTTTATTTGCATATTTATTTACAAGTCTCAATCCAAATTATTTCCTGCATACCTATCAGGTATATTAATTAAGCATAAATGCCCCGGCTAGGAATTGCTTTTTTCAGATAAAAATTGATTGATTGATCTATAGATATGTTCAGATCAAACGCTTCATTTCACTTCCTGTATATAATTCAATAAATCAAGGAGTGGTGTATCAAAGATGTTCCAATCGTTTAATGGATCATTAGCTTAAGGGATATGCTAATGACCTTTTAGCAGTACATATGCTAACTATTTATAGCAGAAAATATTTGAGCAGTATATATACTAATGACCCTTTAACGCAATATTTTTTTTTATTAATAATCTTTAAAAATAAGGATCTGACAGACGCAGAAACAAAATTAAACAAATAAGTGAGTAAATAAATACAAAAAGTGAGGAAGAAAAATGTTAAAACATGAAAAATAAAATAAAATAGAGTAAAATAAATAACAATAGTCAAATAAATAAAAGAAAAGAAATTGACAATGAAATATAAAATGAAGTAATGGCATAAAAACGCAAGTTAATAGACTAGATGATGACTTAGAGAGTTAGTGAGGTGATCGATAAATAAAAACTAGTTCTGTGAATGATAAAGTTTTTGTGAGTATTAATATGTTTGAGGTGTCTTGTGATGAAAGTCTTTTCCTGGTATTTAAATTGGGCGACGACTTGATAGTTGTGTTTGCGCTGACGAAGGTTGTGTGTTGTAGTTTTGATTGATGGTAGTAGAGGACGGATGACGTGGTTGTTGTTATTTTCTACTTTTTTGAACAGTCTTGAATCGAGTGTGTTGAATATCTGAGTGACGGTAGGATATGATGCAGGTAGATAGTTGAAGCGGATTAGTTTTTGATGAGAGATTGTAGTTGCTGAAGTTGTTGTGTAGCAAAACCAGACCAGGAGGGAGTTGCATAATTGATGCGTGAGATTATTAGTGATTCAGTGATGTCGAATAATTTGATGCCTCTGAGACCATGTGAGCGGAGTGTTTTGAGCGCGTGAAATGTTTGAAAGCCTTTTGCGATGATGTGATTGATATGAGGTGCTATATTAAGTGTGGAGGTGAATGTAATGCCTAATATTTTTAATTTACTTGTGCGAGTGATTGATGGGTGTTCTGGAGGTAACGTTATTTTCTTACGGCTATTGTGATCGATGAGTTCGAATGATTTATTGAGATTAAGTGACAGATTGCATCGTTTTGACCATGTAGTTAATGAGTCGAGTTTTGATTGGATGGTGTTTGAGTTAGATGATGAGATGATAAGGTAGGTCTCGTCAGCGTATTGAAGGATGTGATTAGAGCTATGAAAAATTTTGAGAGTAGAAGCATTGATGATAAAGGTAGATGGTCCAAGGACAGAACCTTGAACTACGCTAAAATTAATTGGTAGAGTAGATGAAAGAGTAGAGCTAAAAAAAGTAGATCGACTCCTATTAGAAAGAAAATTTATTATAATATTGTAAATGTTGTCAGGTAGAGGAAGAGAGGCTAACTTATTTGAGAGTGAGAAGTGATTGAGAGTGTCAAAAGCTTTAGAAAAGTCGAAAGCAATAAGATGAACATAATTATTATTTTTAATGTGGAAGTAAGAGAGAGGATGGCGGATGTTGATGAACCTGTAGGGCGAAATGCAAACTGATCTTGTAATAGTGGTTTGATGGATGGATGGTTGAAACATGGAAACATGCTAATTGCAGTGCAATGTGCTTTTAATAATCGCAATGGCATTTAAATAATTTTTCTTATTCTTATACGTAAATATTATTTTCTATCTGTGGCAGAGGCCTATATATACGCAATGTTTATATTAATGTGATAGTTTTGTGACAAACGACGTCCTGTTTATTTTTAAAAGTAAACTTTCACGGTTAAACGATTTTCACATTTTCAAAAAGCTTGCGGTGTGGATTTTTAATATTTATCGTATCAGTGGCTGAAAAATTCCGTTCAGTACAGTTACCAAACGTACGAACGAACGAACGGGAGAGAGAACGAACGATGTTGTGTCGATATTTCCAGCAGGGATATTGCAGATATGGAAGCAGCTGTCGTTATGTTCATGACGAAGTTGGCAGTTGTAAGTGGCTGTGAAGTTTACTTCTTCACCTTCTTCTTTTAAATTAAAGTTTACTTGTCTTTAGTGAAATGATTTAATAATTAACAATTTAATATTTAATAATTTAATATTTAATTAATATTAATTAAATTGGAATATTAAATATTATATATTTTAAATTTAAAGTTCTAACTAAACTAAACTAAACTAAACTTTACTAAACTACTAAATGATAAATAAACGCTAATGCTAATTTAATGTTCAATGTTTAATCTTAATAAAATTTACTCATCTTATAACTTACATCTTACTTTCTTTAGTGAAATAATTTAAATTAGTATTTAATTTACCTCATATTTTTAATTAGTAAGATTAAAATTGAAGTGTTATATAAAGATATGATTAAGTTAACTATTTACCACATGAGAATAAGTAAAAATAATTATTTATGGTTAAATATAATTTTTTTGCATAAATAGATCAATCAAGTTCCAAGTACAACAACAACAATTATTATTACGAAGGCCAAAATTATAACAACAAATACCGCTACAATCGCAACAACGACAGCAACAACTACGACAACAAAAATAACCACTATGAAGAAGGCCCCAACGAGAACGACTTGCTGTTAGTATCTCTTCATTTGTAATCATCATAATTAATTCAAACCATTTATTTTATATAATTAATATCAATAATTAATAATAGGGTTGCATCGAAGTTTAGCTCCCCGGCCGAATATTTGACCATTTTTCACTATCTGGCCATATTCGGCTCCGACCGGATATGACTGCTAGATAGAAAATATACAGTGTCTACATTTATTTTAACATGTATAAAATAGACAAGTAGACATGCGTTAATTAATGTTTTAATGTTTTTTACATTTGGTCTAGATAGTTCATATATATATATATATATATATATTATATGATCATTTATATAGCGCCTATTAAAAACATTCTCATAGGCGCTTTACAACTATGGCAATTTTCTACAAGGAAAAAAGATATGTCTTCAATTGACTCTTGAACTGGGGAAGTGTCAGACCAGACCGGCGCAAAAAATATGGAAGTTCATTCCAATGCCTTGGTCCATAAACTGCAAAACTACGTGATGCAATCTTTAATTTAGTAACCGGGACCACTAACAAATTTCCCCGATCTGATCGTAGGCCAGTTTTTAATGAAATCGATGATCTGTCAATCTACATTTCGGACAAATATTTCGGAGCCAATCCGTTTAAGCATCTATAAACCAAAACACAGACTTTAAAAACAATTCTTTTGCTGACCGGCAACCAATGCAATTCCGACAGAAGTGGGCTAATGTGTTCAACACGACTAGCACCAACAACAATTCTTGCAGCTCTATTCTGAACCATCTGCAACTTAGCAATCTCATGTTTCGAAACACCATAAAACAAACTATTACAATAGTCCAATCTAGAATGTATGAACGAATGAATCAGAGTAACCATGGTTGATTTGTTCAAACTCTTTTTAATTCGATACAATTGCCGCAATTGATATCTATAGATATCAATATAAAATATATATGGAGAGAGAATTAAGAAAGTTTAGGACTAAGAAAATTATTGATGAAAATTACAGCATGTTTTGTGTTAGTTAGCTTCCTGTTTAACTTTTTGATTTTTCTAATTAATCACGGGGGAGGGGGGGATTTTTTCAAAAAAATCAACGACCTGGGTGGGCCAACTTTTCTCCTAATGGACTTATAATGTCAATCTTCCCTTCAGAAATACTACCCTTTTCATTAAACCAACCACTTTTATTAACTTTTACCAAAAATAACAACTATAACTCACAACTAGATCGGCCACTGGTTTAGTTCAGTTATTTCATTTTAGTTAATTCATATGTTAAATATTTTAAAGTTGTAGTGGGTTGATCATTGTGCTGGTTGATGCTGGTCTGATAGGTCGTGATGATGATATAGTCATCATTGAATCATTACATGTTAATGACAGATGATTGTTATCAGTTCTAATCTTGAAGGCAGTCTTGTTTGACAATTATCTTGGACGATTTTTTATGACAATGATGTTTTTGATGGCTGCGATGATGATGATGATAATGGTTCGATGATGATGGCTGTGATGATGATGCTGATAATAATGATAGATGAATGACGATGGCGTTGATGATGAAGAGGAAGGAGAGGAAGATGATGAGAATGAGAATGATGGAAATGATGATTATTGGTTGACGTTGACAAAGACGAAAGTCGATGAGGATGATGACGAATTATTAATTACTTATCAATACTAACTAATTAATAGCAATGACAAAACAGCAGAAGCCTGGTTGTCATCGTCTTGATGGGTGATTAAACTATGCCTGTGTTAATATTAAACATCTAAGTCGAATGAATGAATAATGAACTAACGAATGGATGGATGGATGGATGGATGGATGGAGGAATGGATTGATAGTTGGGTGGATGGATGGATATAATGATGGATGGATTTGTGGAAATTGTGTGTAAGTTTGGATGGATGGTTGGAGAATGGATAGGTGAAGAAATAAAAATGGATTGATGGATGGTTAAATAAATGAAAAGGTGAATGTTTGAATTCCCGCAAGTCAAGTTGCCCATTGGTCAAAATTCACTGCCAAACTACCCGAGGTTTTATTCAAATTTCTAAGGAAGGCTTTATTCAACAACTTCCTACAAGTGCAAACCTATCCAGATATGGGGTAGGACGTCTAACGCGTCGTGCCGCTCTATAACGCGCTTCAAACAAACAAGCATGTCCTGTCGAATTGTAGTTGTCGAATTGTAGTTCAGCAGCGGCTCTGAAAAGATTCACGAATCTTCACGATAGAATACCATCCTTGATTTTGAAAGAGATCAGATCGTCTGCAAAGCCGGAGATGACAATTTGTGCTGCTACGAACGGCAATGAATTTCTCGCATTATCACTCACCTCTGTTCAGATCACTTCGTCCTGATGTTGCTCTTCTCCACGGTGGCTCGATCGAACGACTGGAACCGACGGTCTGCCACGAGTCAAACTTCTCGAAATCCAGGGACTACAAAATAACTAAATATTCTCAAAACCTCAATAGCAACTTGATTCACAATATAACACACTTAAAAACAATTATTAAAACTTTTGAAATTTCCCCGTTAGGTTTCTGTAAACATTTTCACATTTTCACTTATCTTTCGTCAACTTAAACCGGCCGGATCAACTTCAATCAACTCGTCAACATCATCGTCACGTGCCATTCATTGTGGCCGCAACTGCAGTTTAAACTGATTTTATTTCTCCTCGTATTCATTCATTTTAAAACTTTATGAATGATGAGCATTGTAGACTATCTCCATTTTAATCTATTCTGTTCTATTTATGTATGATTATGTATTTCAATTATCGGACATCGTGTTAATGAATGACATCGTTTGATTTTTTTTATTGGACCGCCGGTTTTACTAATTTTAACTCTATTTGATCTCATTTTACCTGATTTTATTTTATCTTGTTATATTGATAGTTCTTCTTCTTCTTCTTGTTGGATGAAAACAGTGTCCACATTATAGTTATTATCATTTGAACGGCAGATTCCAAGCCATGGTGGATGACATGATTGTATGGAATAACTCGAACATCTGGCCCATCTCGTGCTACGGGTTCGCTAAGCTAGTCAAATGCCTTCCTGGTTGGTTCATCAGTTGATTGCTTGGTTGATTGATTGCTTGGTTTGTTGGTTGATTGGCTAGTTGGTTGATTGGTTTGTTGATTGGTTGGTTGATTGGCTGGTTCGTTGGTTGATTGATTTATTTGGTCTATTGAATGATTTGTTGGTTGATTGGCTGGTTGATTGATTTATTTAGTCTATTGAATGATTGGTTGGTTGATTGGCTGGTTGATTGATTTATTTGGTCTATTGAATGATTGGTTGGCTGATTGGTTAGTTGGCTGATTAGTTGATTGGTTGGTTGATTGATTGGCTAATTAGTCGGCAAGCAAACTGACAGACAAACAGCCACCTTGATCTAATTCATTTCTGATCTCTCCAGATAGTTTGTTATTATTATTATAATTCATTGATCGTTAAGGCTTTGAAGAATATTCCTACGAAGAGATTCGATATTTTTGCATGGAGTCCATGAAGAACAATCAGATGCCTTCTTATGTGGGTGTCAGTCAATCAATCAGTCAATCATTCATTTGTTTATTCGTTCGTTCATTCGTTCATTCATTCGTTCATTCATTCATTCATTCATTCATTCATTCATTCATTCATTCATTCATTCATTCATTCATTCATCTGTCAATCAATCAATCAATCAATAAATCAATCAATCAATCAATTAGTCAATCAATCAATCATTCAATCAGTCAGTCAGTCTGTCAGTCAGTCAGTCAATCAATCAATCAAACAATTAATCATTCATTCATTCATTCATTCATTTATTTATGTATTCATTCATTGGTCAATGAATCAGTCAGTCAGTCAATGAGTCAGTCAGTCGTGGTTTTGTTGTTGTTATGGTGATATTTGTTGTTACTGTGATTTTGTTTATTGTTTTTTTGGTTGATGTTGTATGCTGTTTTTGTTGACAATGTCTTTGGTTCATTTTATTGCTGTTATTGTTGATGTTGTTGTTGTTATTGTTGTTGATGTTGTTGCTGCTGTTGTAGTTGATTTCATGTCGATATTTTTTTTGCAAAGTTATTTTGATGTAATTATTCTGCAGGTGTTGTTGTTGCTATTATAGTTGTATTTTTATTTCCATTTTTGTGTTTTTTATTGTCGTCATTATTGTTGTTGTGCTTATTATTATTATTATTGTTGTTGTTGTTGTTGTTGTTGTTGTTATCGTTAATAATATTCTTTTAAACAGTCGACATGGTTGAATGAATTGATCCAAAAGAACGTGAATGCACGGAACCAACTGCTCAACCTCAGTGAGATGCAGAAGATTCAAATGGTTTGTTGCTGATGGTGTTGTTGTTGCTGTTGGTGTTGTTGTTGTTGCTGTTTTTGCTGATGTTGTTGTTGATGGTGTTGTTGTTGCTGATGTTGTTGTTGTTGATGGTGTTGTTGTTGATGGTGTTGTTGTTGATGGTGTTGTTGTTGATGGTGTTGTTGTTGATGGTGTTGTTGCTGATGTTGTTGTTGTTGATGGTGTTGTTGCAGTGGTTGACAGTGCGCTCCATCCAATTGAGGTCTCACTCCCAAATGTCACGTCACAAGTGAGGATGGAGAGCGAGCTGAAAAGAATATATTTGTTTTCAAGATGGATTGGTTGAAGGTTGATGTGGATGAGTTGGAGGAAGGAAGGTGGTGCTGCTATGAGTTGATGGGTGAGTTTATGATGTTGCGCAAGTTTAACTCTAAAGCGACGAGTTGATGATTGGTAGTAAGGTGAATATTTCTGGTCGTCACCGGTGCTGCTAGAATTGCTATGTACTTGCAGATGTTAGCAGTTTCAGTGAACGACCCAATCTGACCTGACCAGATATGACCTGACCTGACCGGAAATGACTCGACCTGCACAGGCTGAGAGGGAGGTGGTAGGCATTGGGTAGAGAAAGAAGTGTCCACAGGAAGCATTAGACGCCGTTCTGCTGCTGTGCCGTTTTTGTGTAGTGTGATGCTGTTATGTGTTGTTAAATGTAGCAGTGAATTTATTATTGTTATTGTTTTTATTATGGTTATAATAATAATATTAATTGTTGTTTTTGTTGTTGGGATGAATTTAGCAAAAAATGATAAGTGAGTACGTGATGGAGATGGAGAGGAAGGAGGAGGCAGACAGCAACAAAACCTTCCAGCAAACAAAAGTCTCGTTGGATGCTGCCCAAACAAACCTAGCAACTCCAACTACTAACATTTTCGCCACCAACGATAATATTCTGCAACAAAAAAAGCCTAATATATTTCAACAACACCATCAACAACAACAACAGCCACTAAACATCTTTGCACCACAACAACATCATCAGCCACAAAACATTTTTGGACAGCTACAACAACATCAACAGCAGCAGCAACAGCCGCCAAACATCTTTGCGCAGCAACAACATCAACCGCATAACATTTTTGGGCAACCACAACAGCAGCAACATCAGCCACAAAACATTTTTGGACAACAACATCAGCAACAGGGCATCTATATGCAACAACAACAGCAGCAGCCACAATATCAACAGCAGCCGCATTTTCAGCGTAGTACATTTGTTCCAATTGTCGGCAACGTCAAAAACAGCTACGACGACTTATTACTAAGAAATGTTTTCGCAGGCAACAACAATACGCCTTCCGCAAACAACAACGCCTATGATATAGATGATAGTGTGTACAGTAAGCTGGATGAACTGATCGAACCCGATGCAGCAGAGTTTCGGGCCGACAACTTCACCTACGTGCCCCTACTCCCACCTCCCAAGATGTTCATATGAGGATGACGCTGCTGATGGTGATGATGGCGATGATGTTCATGTGGTGATGCTAATGATGAGGATGTTTTTGATGATGATGATGATGATAGTGGTGGTGATAATGATGGTGGTGGTGATGATGATGATGTGGCTCAACATGCTTCTTCATTATTTTCATCATCATTATTTTTAAGTACTGTTGTTCGTACTGTTAATATTTATTATTATTATTTTATTATTTATTATTAGTGTTATTTTATTATTTTTATTTTTAATAATGTCATTTTTTTTCATTTTTTTTTAATATCACCGCATATTATCATCTTATTAATATAATTAATTTATTAACGGAAGAAAAATTATTTTCACCCTTTAAAGTAAGAGTTCAAATGATAAAAAGAAAGTGTCTGACAAAAATGAATTATATTGAAGTGTATTTAAAATGTTACGATAATAATGATAATAATAATTTTATTATTAATATTATACTATAATAATATTAATTATAATTATTTTATTATCAATAATATTATACTCTAATAATATTAATGATAATAATTTTATTATTATTAATATTATACTATAATAATATTAATGATAATTATTTTATTATTAATAATATTATATTATAATAATATTAATGATAATTATTCTATTATAATAATATTATTCTTATTGTTATATTATTGTTATTTTGTTGGTAATGTTATTATATAATAAGTGTTACATTATTATCACTGATATTGTTTATTATTAATTAATCTTTGAAGCCCCAATGCCAATGGTGATAGTTATTATTAGATTTTTAATTAAATTAATTAATTAAATTGATTAATTAATTTGATTAATTGATTACCGTATATGTCCTGAAAATGAGGCAGATATTAATATTCGGTGATTTCTTGTTCGTGAGGGAATTTAGTGAATAGTTTATGATGAATAATTAATGAGGATTAATTAATGATGAATGATGAATAACTAATGGCAAATGATGAATAATTATAGAGAAATAATTAATAATTAATGAAGAATATGAAGCATGCAACAGACGTAGATAAGCATGT